ATTTATACATCGTAATCGAAATTTCATCTCATATGATTATCTCTGTGAAAAAGATTATAAACCACTACAAGGAATAAATTTACTTTACTAAAATTTACTTAAATGCATTGCAACACTTTATTTAATACTCATTTTCTACTCAAAATGTTAAAAATTTTAATCTAGCTGTCTATTAAATAAAAATATAAACTAATTTAATGAGTAATTTCAACCAAAACATAACTGAATAGATTTGCCTCTATCCTTGTTTAAACATAACTCAACGTCTCAGCCTATACTCGCTACTCATAATTTTGTCAATAAAGAGCAACAAGCGGACTAAAAAGAAATAAGTTGGACTTTAGGAGAAAAAACAGTGGTGGATCTTTGGCGGAGGAATGAAGAACAGCCTCATGAGGTTCATTGCTGGAAGAGCTTCGACAATAGTTGATAATCCAACTTATTCATCCTGGCGATTCTATTGTTCACCAACTTCATCTTCCACCCGTCCTCCTCCCAACGGCAAACTCTTTGTCGCAGGTCTCCTCTTTTTCCCTATTTCTCATACTTATTTTTCTCTCTTTCTGTTGCTCTTTGTGATTATTGTTAACATGATGGGTATTGGGTGTTGAAGGATTGTCATGGTCAGTTGATGAGAAATCCTTGAAAGATGCCTTCTCCTTTTTTGGCCAAGTCTCAGAAGGTAGGTTACTGCATTCAGCCTCAATTGTCTTTTACAATTTATATGACTGCTTAGTAGGGTCATTTAGGTGTTCGATGAATTGTCTGAGTGATCACAGTGTCAACAAATAGTCAAATTTTGGATGAAAACGAAATACGGGTTGCTATATTTATAGTCTTTATGTTGTGTTTGATAACATGGGAAATGTTAATGAAATGATAATTTTATAGGGAACTCAAAATTTTTAAATAGTTAGTGCAAAATATGCTCTTCTTTTCCCACTCTTGTTTATATTTTGTTCAAGGGAAACCCGTACCGATAACCTATCAATGTTGAGCTGAAAGTGAAATGAATCCAAGCTGACTAGAAGAAGTAACTTGTCGCTGCTGATTAGTGATTACCATGAAACCTCACTAAATTGGTTCGATAATGCCCCCAGAATTGAAGTGTTAAATACCATAGTGCCTTTCAGTGCAAAGCAAAAACAAATGAAGGCTTTGTTATTTCATGAAAAGATAGCTTATAGAATGATATTTTCTAAGATTGTCTCATATTCACAGCATGACAGTCCTATATATGAATCAACACAGAAAATTACTTTTATTTTTTTCTCATCATTCAAAATTCAAGCTTAAAGTTATATAATACTAAGAAATTACTTTACTAAGGCCACAAGTTAATTTGTGGGGGAAAAACCTGCTGTTACCGTGTGTTGACCTTAGTAGTCACTGGTTACCACTTACCAATGACATTGATCAATCATTTCAACTGGTGGTGCTTGCTAAAATTACCAATCTTTGGAAACAATTATTTCCTCTGATTACTTCACATTATTGTTGATCCATTTACTGCATTAGCAAGCATCAGCAACCACTTCAAAAGATTATAAGATATATAACTTATGTTCTACTACATGCCAAATATTTGCATTACAATTTATCAGAGAAATTTATTGCTAAAAAAATAAATAAATAAATAAAACTTGACCTCGAACTCATTTTGGGGAAACAAAAGTATCTTTCGAAGGTTGCCCTGCTGAGTGAATTGGACATTTAACATGTGCAAACCTGAATTTGAAGCTTGCTCACATTTTTTTTATAAAGATGGTAATAATTTTTGCAGTTTAATTGGCCTTTAGTCTGTTCAATCTACACTATGATTGCTCTTTGGTCCTGTTGGTGTTTCTGTTCTAGTGAGGATAATGTATGATAAAGACACTGGTAGGTCAAGAGGCTTTGGGTTTGTTCACTTTTCTAAAGAAGATGAAGCCAGATGTGCTAAAGATGCTATGGATGGAAAGGTATGCAGACTATTTTGATTCTCTGGCAACCTGAAGTGGTCTTGCCTAGGAGGTCATTTTATGAGATATTTGAAACTGCTTCCAAACTGATATTCTTTTGGCTGCAGGCATTGCTAGGTCGACCGTTAAGGATAAGCTTTGCTCTTGAAAAGATTCGTGGTGCACCTGTTGTAGTCCCTCGCCTGCCTAATGGTAATGCTTGAACTCCTCAAGTATTTGGAATCTCCTTATCCTTGATAGGGATCGGGGCAGTGATGTTGCAGTGGGGTTGATGAACTACATTATCATTAGCAACATATGGTAGTAGTTGGTAAAGATATAGCTAAACTCCACATACACCTCGTGGTATGGTTTTTTTTATTTAAGATCTTGTGTTTTAGTTATATTCCCAAAGGGAGTACCGGTATTAAAATTTCAGTTACTTTTTTGTAAACAAACAATAATAACCTTTGTTTTAATCTTACATCTGAGCATTTGGCTCATTGATTAATGCATAATCGCCTATCTAAAGAGCAAAATTCTAATCTTCCTTCTTCCAATTAAAAAAAAAAAAGCCTTTGTTTTAATCTTTTTGTATTTTATTTGTTTAATTAAAAATATATATTTCAATAGAAATTTTTCATTTTTTTTCTTTTTGTTTTCTTCTTAAGATAGACCAACTTACCTCTTGTAGTCATAGGTAGCACCAAAGTCTTTACACATATCAAAAATGTTGAATGATACACTACTACAAAAGAACAATAACCATGTTCGGACTACAATTATAATTTTGGTGCTTGACATACATGACTTCTACTTCATAGGTGGTCTAAGAATGGCATCATATAAAAAGAAGAAATGGTTTCTTAGGAGGAATCTCTTTTCCTAATCCTGTACATAAATTTATAAGTTACTATATAATTGTATAAGATTATTTTTTCAAATAATAAAAAAAACAAAAATAAAATCAAAATATTTGGACAGGATCGATTAAGGCTTTTTAAAAGAAAACAAGAGTATCTGGATCCTTTTTTACAAATTTTGAATATAAACCCTTATAACTCAATACAAATAATGATCAAAACAAAAATAAAATCAATACAATTCAAAAACGAATGGATCAATCAAAATTTTCTTAATAAAAGTAACAATCGAAGCAATCATAGCCTATAGAAATTGAAAGATCTCATGAAAAAGAAATCAAATTGGAAATGCATTTCTTTGAATATTTTAGGAAGTGGAGAAGAACAAGAAAAAAAAAACTACTATTTTGTTGAAGAAACAATATCCTTAGACAAGTTTGGTTCATAGAATAGAATAAGTATTTTATGAGAATATAATAGAAAAATTATTATGTAGTTTGGTTGACGAATGAAATAATATAAGAATTGCTATTATGATTTATTAAAATATTTGATTAGTAAAAATAATTTTGAGATAATAAAAGAATAGATGATAAAAAGACCAAAAATACTCTTTATTATAATATATGATTATCTATTTTTATTTTATTTTATTTTTATAAAATTAAAATTTTATAATTTATTTAAAATATTAATAATAGATAATTTAAATATAATATTTTTTAAAATTAATATTTTATTTATAATTTAATTTTTTATATTTTAAATAATTAATATTTTATTTATAATATAAATATTATTGTGATTAAAATATTAATCATTTTAATTCATTTTAAAATTTAAAATTTTATTTTTTTGTAATATATAATTAAAAACTTAAACTTTTTATTATAATATATGATTATCTATTATTATTTTATTTTATTTTTAAACTATTAATAATTTAAAATTTATTGAAAATATTAATAATTGATAATTTAATTATTAAAATTTTCAAATATTAATATTCTAGTTATAATTTAAATATTATAATGATTAAAATATTAATTATTTTAATTATTTTTAATTTAAAATATTAATTTTTAATAATATATAATTAAAAACTTAAACTTTTTATTATAATATATGATTTTCTATTTATTTTATTTTGTTTTTACATATTAATAATTGATAATTTAAATATTATTATGATTAAAATATTAATTTTTTTAATTATTTTTAATTTAAAATATTAATTTTTAATAATATATAATTAAAAACTTAAACTTTTTATTATAATATATGGTTTTCTATTCATTTTATTTTGTTTTTACATATTAATAATTGATAATTTAAATATTATTATGATTAAAATATTAATTATTTTAATTATATTTTAAATTTAAAATATTAATTTTTATAATATAATTAAAAACTTAACATTTTTGTTTTAAATTTTTTTTTCATTTCACTTATAAGGAGCATTTTTGTCTTATTAATTTTAGAAACTATTGCCCCATTTATGGAATAGCAATTACTAGAAAAGTTTGAATTAAATATTCATGGCAAATGATTTAGCTATTTCCCAACCAAACATACTGTTAATGTATAACTTTACGTTAAAATTTTGTTATGAAACCTAAAAAACAACAAAGATAAAATAGAGAGAAATCAAGCAAAATAGAAAATACGAGAATTTACGTAGTTCTACTTAATGTCAATGGATAGAGGATCCGTTAATTTTGAAATACTCGAACCCAAACCAACTTAGTAAATGGGTTATCCGAACCTTATAATTATTCGAATATTTTTGAAATTTACTACTTTAACTCAAACTCTAATACATATCCACTACCCGATAATTACTCAAACTCGTTTAAAAATTCGATTATATAAAAAAATTATTAAAATGCTCTTCATAAGTACCTAATTACCCAAACCGGAATCCATATCCGTATTTATATACAATAATATTTTAATCCATATTCCATATAATTTATTAATAATAAAATGTATAAAAGCACACAAACAATAAAATTTAAATTTAAATAATAAAAAATATATATCTCAAATATCAACTTAAATAATTAAAAACAAATATCCAAACAACAACTTAAATAGTATTACAAGTTTAATTGACTATATAGGTTTGTTATTAATTGCATAAACTTAAAAAAAAAATTGTTAGGTTTCAAAACTATTCTAATCTCACAACTTCTTTTTAAGTATATGTTTTATAAGTTTATATAAACAAAAGTATATATATTATAATTAATAATTTTATAAGTTATAATTTTTGTAACATTAATACAAACTAGAAAGTAAATATGTTTATATATTTAAAATATACATATTAAAAGTATATATATAATAGTAATTATATTTTTTATAAATTAACACAATTTATAGAGTATATATATTAAAAGATATTACAAATTAATTAATAATCATAGTTTTTTGAATTAATTTAATTAATAATATAGGTTTGTTTTTAATTACATAAAATTAAAAACAATATAATTGAGTTTAGGGTATTGGGTACCTAAGGATTGGTACCTAAGTCTTACTTGAACTTGATACGGGTAGTGAAATTATTACCTAAACCTGATTATAAGGTACTCTAATCTTATATAATTGAGTCAAGTACTTACAAGTACTTTGTAACAAGATATCTATTAGCATCCTTAACTTCTTAGCCAAGTCTTCCCAAACCAATCTAAAATCCTTTTGCACATCCTCTATCAATAACCTCTTAAAAACATTCACTTAAATAACTCTAACTTTACCTAAAATAAAATATAAGAATTACAAAGTATTATCTCTTTAGGGCTCCTAGAGCACTTCTGTCAATTAGCACAATGTTGAATAAAAAGTTTAAATTCTCTCAATTAGCAATTAATGTAGAATAATAAGTTTAAAATCATGTAAATATTTAATGTGAAATAAAAAGCTTAAAGGGATTCAAACACATACTTTTTAAACAGAAAATTATATATTAATCAATAAGTCATATATTCGAATGCATATAAAAAAAATCTTCATCAAATAAGATTTAAAATTTTAATAAACTTAAAATAGAATTCAAGACTCAAATCAACATATTTTCAGTGGACATTAAGCTGTTTGAAGAGATAATCTCTTCAAAGCTAAACGGGTCAATCTAATTTTCACATATATATAAAAGAAAAGAAATTCTTTTCTTTTTCCTTTTAAAGAACAAAAGAAAGAAATTCCTCGTTCATCTGGACAACGGCGTGCTCAGCATACGGTCCACATGGATAAAGCATCCAAAAAACGCAGCCGTTTTGATAACTCCGAGTTAAAAGGAAAAAGACGCAAAAGCGGAGGAAATCGACTCTAATTCTAATCCGATCAAGAAGCAAAGCACTGCAGCAGACAACTGTACAACTTATAAAAGGAGAGTTGCAAGTCCGCCCCATTTTGCTTTATCGCAGTTTCGAAGATACTCAATAAAAAAAAGAAAAACGAAAAACCGAATCCGACAATGGAGCACGAAACGCAGCAGCAAGGAATTCCCAACAACCCAACCGCCAATCAAAACGCAGCTTTAATTAACTCCTTTATCGAAATCACCTCCTCTTCCAAGGAAGAAGCCCTCTTCTTCTTAGAATCCCATCAGTGGGACCTCGACGCCGCCGTTTCGACTTTCCTGGACAACAACTCCACCGCAACCGCCGCTGCACACCAACCGCACCCGATCGCACCTCCACCTTCCCGCGACCTCAATAATTCCGCTACTCCCTCGCCGTCCGATTCCCCTGATTACTCTCCCTCACAATCGCCTTCCCGCTCTCGCTCCCCTTCCCCTGTCCGCCCCTCTCGTGCTCCTTACCAGCTGCGGTCCCGCCGCAACGCTGATAAGAAACCGTCTGGTAGCAATAGTGCTCGTGGCGTTCGGACCCTCGCGGATTTGAACCGGACTCCTCCTGGTGGGTCCGACAGCGATTCGGATGAAGCCCAAGACTACTATACTGGTGGTGAAAAAAGGTTTAATTTCTAACTTCTTTTTTTTTGTTTTTCAGTACTTTGACCCTTAATTTGGGAAAAATTAGGCAAGCAATTTGTTCTTAATTGGTTATTTGGGTGAGCAGTGGGATGGTGATTCGAGATCCTTCCAAGCATAATGATGTGGATTCGATATTTAATCAAGCGAGACAAGCGGGAGCTGTGGAAGGATCTGATGATTATTTCCGACCATCGTCGTCGAGCACGAGAAGCTTCACTGGAACGGCGAGATTACTCTCTGGAGAAACTCTGGCACCTGCTCCCCCCCCACCACCTGAAGTTGTCACTCACAATGTTACTTTTTGGAGGAATGGGTTTACCGTTGATGATGGGCCGTTGCGTCACTTGGACGATCCTGCCAATGCTTCCTTCTTGGAGGTAATAACAATGTACAACTTGCTCTACGAAGAATATGTTGTGAGATTGGTATCAGTACATAATACGCATGTATTTTCCTGTTTGATGAATTAAAAGAGTTTAGTCATAAGGAGATTGATTTTGAGATGTTTCTGTTTAAGGTCAAGTCAATTAGCTTTTTTAGTGTAATGCTATGACGGGATTATTTCATTATGGACCTTGGGCTTTTAGTTGCCGCTATCAGTATGTTTATTAGTAGTTGCTCAAGCACCTTGAGTAACGGAAG